GACGCCACAACATGTTTGAGGCAAAGATGTTTAGTTGAGCCAACGTAAAGGCTCTGTGATGGGAAGGAAGGCTGAGATTGTGTAAATAATGGGCCATTTGGCCATGTTGCGTTGAAAGGTTAAGATGAGCTTGTGAGTAAATATGCAGATGTGAAGCACGAAAATTATGTAATTCTAGATCGAATTAGTCTGTCTAATAGATCAAAAAATCGAGGTTCTGTCCATTTGGAGAAAGTAATCAGTCGAAAAGCCTATTTGATTAATTTTTATTTCTTCAATTTTGGAAAACTAGAGGGGACTCTAGTGTATCATTTTTTAAGCGTGAAATTAGAGTTTGGAGAGGCTCTAAAATGAATGTTGAGCCAATATTTAAAGGTTAGTGGCCAGCCTTTTGTTTGAATAAGATGTTGGCCCAATACTGGGCATAAAGCTGAGTGCGGCACACACCTTGGGACACCTAAGAGTTGGCGAAAGAAGTCTGATTGAATGTGCTCATGGTTTCTCTTCAGATCGTATCAATCTTTCACCTTTTAAAAAATAGATTGCTAGTTCTGCTCAGAAGACAGTGGGTGTAGCATGACTTCTGGGGAAATTATGACAGTTTTAATGCCTATCTAGAGGACTTCCCAGAGACATTTGAACCAACCATTTCTGGCAACCGGATGGAGGACTAGGCAGCTCTTTGCTGGGACCCAGCAGGGTCTAAGAGACTGAGCTGTCAACCAGGAACTCCTTCCTTTGAGCCTTGGCTGTGTCCTGAATTTCCAGAAATCGTCTCCATGACCCATCTTGTCTTTGCACCTGTACCAAGGGCCCCACTGAAAGTCCCCTCCCCGAGAACATTGTTATTGATTTTTCACTGCAACTCCTAAGTTTTACTTACAGTGAGGTTATTTTGGCCTGAACACCAAGCCAAAACAAAAATAACTTTTCAAAACGTCTCAGCCTCCGCTCTACAATTCCTAGTCTTGTGCCATCACTTCTTAGAACCCTCTTGAGGTTGGGTGAGTGGGGGGTGCTCATATTATCCCACTGACTGACATGGTGTAATCCACCTGGAGCTTCAGCAAGGGAAAGGCAGACTATGAGTGACAAAGTCTTTAATGCTTTTACATGCACCCCCACCCCCTTGGGGACCCTGATTGAGTAGACAGGCAGCATCAAAAAATGTTTTAAATAAAGAAATAAGTGTATTTTTAAAAGTTCTAAATAAATAAATGAGTGTGTGTGTGTATATATACATATGCATATGTGTGTGTGTATATATATGCACAAACATACATTTATTTATTTAGAACTTAAAAAAATACATACTTTATTTAAAAGATAGACAGATATAGTGGATTAGATAGATGACTGATTGATAGAAGATGCATTCATTCATTCTCTGGAGAGATGGCATAAAAATGTTTTAAATAAAGAAATAAGTGTATGTTTTAAAGTTCTAAATAAATTAGTGCACACACATATATACACATACATTTATTTATTTAGAACTTTAAAAATACATGTACTTCATTACTTAAAAGACAGACATATAGTGGATAGATTAGATAGATGATTGATTGACACATTCATACATTCTCTGGAGAGATGGCATAAAAATGTTTTCAATAAATAAGTGTATTTTTTAAAGTTCTAAATAAATAAGTGTGATTGTGTGTATATATATATATGCATGTGATTGTGTGTAGATATATGCACACACATATATACACATACATTTATTTATTTATAACTTTAAAAAATACATGCACTTCTTTATTTAAAAGACAGACCGTTAATAGTGGATAGATTAGACAGATGATTGATTGACAGGTGCATTCATTCATTCTCTGGAGAGATGGCATAAGCCCCTCCTCCAAATAACTAAACAAATAAGACGTCGAGCACCTTGAATATTCAAGAAGTCCTAACTGAACAATTATCTCTTTCTTTATTACTATTAATACTGCTATTTCCAGACCCTTAAATGCCTCCCCCGCCCCCGCCCAGTGCTTCTCGCTCAGATGCGCCGCTCAGCCAAGAGTCCCACAATGCAAAGCGGGAGGGGGGGGCAAGCGGAGAAATTCGCCTCCCTCTCCCCGGTGGCAATTCGGCCCCTCCCCTACTAAAGGGGGGCTTTGAACAATCCCACACCCCCCCTCCCCCCCCAAACCGTTCTCCTCCCCCCGTCACGGAGCCGCCGATGGAGCGCTCGGCACCCGGCCCGTCTCCCCTCCCGCCTTCAGCCACTTCTTCAACCTCCCAACATTCAAAGAGGGAGGGGGGGCAAGCAGAGAACTTCGCCTCCCCCTCCCCGGTGGCCGTTCGGCCCCTCCCCTGTCAAAGGGGGGCTTTGAACAATCCCACCCCCTCCCCCACCAAACCGTTCTCCTCACCCCGTCACGGAGCCGCCAATCGAGCGCTCGGCACCCGGCCCGTCTCCCGTCTCCCCTCCCGCCTTCAGCCACTTCTTCAACCTCCCAACATTCAAACACGGCGCGCTCATCCGGGTAACACGCCTACGCCACACCCACCAAGCGAGAAGGACCGCGGCGGGGACGTCAAGACGCCCGCCGGAAGAATCCAGCCTATGTGTGGGCCTCTAGATGTCACATGATCCTTGACTAGCTGAGGGAAAGGGGAGGGGGAGTAAAAAAAGCGCCACTTCGAACGAGGAAGTGTTACCTTGGCAACCGCACGAAGGGGCTTGTTTTCTCAGGATTGGTGGGATACCGGTATTAAATAATAATGAGGATGCACAATATTAAAGAAAAGCCGCAATGCTTTGAATCAAAACGATTCCGTTCCGTGGGCTATAAAAATACATCCCGTTTTAAAATGTTAAATATTTTTAAAGATTCAATTGAAATATATTAAAACGTTTTTAATAAAGAACATCTAGTATAATTTTAAAAAAAAAACAACGAAGACAGAAGGCTTTATATGAAATCTGTTTTTCTAATTAATTTGCTTGTAGGACCATCTTTCATCACGTATTAAAAAAACGCAAAGTTCTCACACAATGGGGTTTTTAAAAAAAATTTCCTTTCATCATTAAGTAGCTATGTGCTTTTGTCATTGGCATTTTTTCTCCAGAAACACTTTTATTTATTTTATTTGGGGCTTTAAAGTGGATTTTAAAGAGCATGTCTGTTACATCCGAGGGCGCACAGCTTGAGTGCGCATGCGCGGATTGAGACCCCTCCTTGAACTTGCCTAATAAAGAGCCTTTAATGTCATCTATGTCCCGCCCCATCTCGTCCTGTCAGCCAATCAGTGCAACGACCAAGCGCACGCGAGGGAGCGCCTGTCTCTAGAGAGGCTGCGCCCATTCCTAGAGAGGTTTCCTGTCGCTCCTTTTGATTGGCTGTTTGGGGAGAGGAACTTTGCTGGTGGGCGCTGGGTTCCAGTCCCCCTCTGTCTAGCTAAAGGAACAGGGTTGGTTCCTCCAGTGGTGAGTGCGAGCAAAGCTCTATTGGGGGGGGGGCTTTTTCTTTGAGTGGCATTGATGGGGAGTGGGTCACCCACCCTTTGCATTGTAAAAAGGTAAAGATAAAGGTAGGTAAAGGTCTCCCTTGCTC